GAGGGGCGGGGCGGGGGCGCGCCCGCGGCTCCGGGCGCTGGAGCCCGCGGGGGGCCCGGCTCTGGACATCGCAGAATGGCTGGGATTGCAGGGCAGCTTGAAGGCCGTCTGGTTCCAGCCCCTCCTGCCATGGCTAGGGACGTCTTGCACTAGACTGGGTTGCTGCAAGCACCGTCCAGCCTGGCCTTGAACGCTTCCAAGGATGGGGCATCCACAGCTTCTCGGGGAAACCTGTGCCAGGGTCTCTCAATCCTAATGTGGATTCCTGCGTTTCCGCAGGAAAAACGCACCTGTAGTTCATTGGGATACGTGGACGGAGCCGCTGCTGAGGGATGGATTAGTGATGGGGTTACAGCAGGAGCTGCACGTCCCTGCTTTGTGCTGCTCTTCAAAAACAATAACATTGGAGGGGTGAGAAGCCCGCCACAAAAATTTAAAGTATTTTATTCTTTCACTCTTACTTTATTCATTCGGTAGCCTTACCGACGTACATCTCTCAGCCAGTACCGGAGCGTTTCCTTTGGTTTTCTCTGGTTATCCCTGAGAGACCCCCACTCCAGGGATATCCGCCTCACCACCCTGAGTACCCAATGACAGGCAGTATTCCTCCTTTTCCCTCTTCCACCGTGCCTGACAGTCTCCTGTTGCACCAGCGGAAATTCCAAAATGGAAATAGGAAAATACTGGCGCAGGCTCGTGGTACTTTAAATTGGCCGGAGCTGCAAACACTGCACGGCTAAATGACGGAAAGTTGCGCCCTCTCCACTGTGGAACACACCAAGGGGCGGGGAAGGGGAAAGGAACAACAACAACCACCGCAAGTTTCCCTTTGTTTACGCTCTTATTCCAAAAGCTTCACTGGAAAGGAAAGTTGGTGGCGGCTGGGTGGAAACTCCCTCTCCAAGGACCGGGGCTTGTTGACGTTTACCCGGGTGCGTGTGTGTGTGTGTGCGCGCGCCAGGGACGAGCGGCCATCTCCCCCATCTCCCAATCCAGCGGCTGCGGCGGGGGAGCCATGGCCCTGCGGAGGAGAGAGAGGCAGGGATTGAGGAGAGAGAGGCAGGGATCCCCGGGCGCTCCGCGGGCAGGGAGCGCTGAGGCGCCAGGCGCGCGCTCTGCCCGCCTTGCCCGCCCAGCCCGCGCGCGGCTCGGCTCGGCCGTGACGCAGCGCACTCGACGCGCGACGCGGCCAATGGGACGCCGCCCCCGGGGGCGGTGCTGGGCGCCGATTGGTTGGCAGGAGCCGGGCGCTGCGCAAAAACAGCGCAGCCGAGCGCTGCCTGCTCAGAAACTGCTGGCAGAGATCTGAGGAGACGGGCCGGGAGCGGAGCCGGGACGGGAGCACAGCGGCAGCTCACACAGACACAGGGGCTAGACGAGAAAGCGGAAAGAGAGGAAAAAAATCCCCACCGCCATCGGCACCGCCGTAAAAGCCGAGTGATGATGATGATGAACGTACTCATAGCAATAAGAGAAGAAAATGAAAGACCTTTGACAGACGAGAGAAAAATCTAAAAATCCTTAAATTAAAAAAAAAAATACCAGGGACATCGGGGAATGAAAGTTTTGGGTAGCTAAGCTGCTCTCTGCCTTTTTTTTTTTTTTTTTTTTTAATTTCGCGGTTTTCTGCCTTTTCCTTGCATCCAAAGAGGGCATGCCCACCGGCTGTTCCAGCAGCATCTACCCTCTAACTCCCACCAGGAAGACAAACGGAGGACAATCTTGAAATACAAAAATTTCCTCCTTGGAATTTGCTGCTGCTGCTGTCTCCGCCGCCACTGCTGCTGCCGCGGTGCAGTGCCAAGACTCCTGGAATAAATAAAAGAGGGCTACAGTGTGTCTCTAGCTACAGCCGGCTAATAGCTCTTTTAGTTGGCCGTATATTTCGAAGATCACAGATGAAGTGGGGACGCCTGTCTTCTTCGTTTGGTCAGCGTGTGAAACAATAATCCCCGTAACAAAAAGGAGGGCGATGGGGGAGAAAAAAAATCCTAACATGAATCAGAAGAAATAGTATCTAGCACCCCCCCCCA